CTGTCCCTATGCTTGGAAACAGGAGTCCTTTATCTCTCTCTCTTTTTTTTTTCTTTTTCCAAGACAGGGTCTGGCTCTGTTGCCCAGACTGGAGTGGCACAATAAATGGCACAATCTCAGGTCACTACAACTTCTGCCTCCCAGGTTCAAGCAGTTCCCCCACCTCAGCCTCCCGAGTATAAGCATACACCACCGTGGCCAGCTAATTTTTTTTTGTATTTTTTGTAGAGAGGGTCTTGCTGTATTGCCCAGGCTGGTCTCAAACTCCTGGACTCTAGTGATCCACTAGCTTCAGCTTCCCAAAGTTCTGGAATTGTAGGTGTGAGCCGCTGTGCCTGGCCAGGAGTCCTTTTCTCACAGTCTACTCTACCATCTGCTCTCTTTCTCCTTTGTTGGGGTGGTACAATATATTGCTTTAGAACACTAGCTTTGGTGACAGCTCTGGGCTCAGTGTCAGTTTTGCTTCATGCAAATTATGACCTTAGGCAAGTTACCTAATCATCCAAGCCTCAGTTTCCGTACATGTAGGTGAGGGTAATACTGATACCAATCTTATTTTGTTCAATTCATTCTTTCTTCCTCCATCCCTCTTCTGACCTCTGGATAGATTCTAGTCCCATCCTAGTTCAAGTTCTTGAGCACAGTTATACTCTTGGAAACAACACTAGATTAGAAGCTAAGGTTCCTGGTTCCGGTTTGACTCGCCGTCATCTACATGATTTTACCCACAACCACCTCACTTAGCTTTAGTTACTTTAATAATAAAATGAAATATACAATGTAAACTGTTTTTTTCTGTTTTTAAAATACTGTGTATGGCCGGGTGTGGTAGCTCACGCCTGTAATCCTAGCACTTTGGGAAGCTGAGGTGGGCAGATCATCTGAGCTCAGGAGTTTAACAGCCTGGCCAATATGGCAAAACTCTGACTCTACTAAAAATACAAAAATTATCTGGGCATGGTGGCAGGTACCTGTAATCCCAGCTACTTGGGAGGCTGAGGCAGGAGAATTGCTTGAACCCAGGAGGCAGAGGTTGCAGTGAGCCAAGATCATACCATTGCGCTCCAGCCTGGGCAACATAGCAAGATTCCATCTCAAAAAGAAAAATCAAAGTAAAATAAAATAAATAAAGCAGGGTGTGTGAATCCCAGCACTTTGGGAGGCTGAAGCAGGAGGATTGCTTGAGACCAGGAGTTGGAGATCAGCCTGGGCAACATAGCAAGACCCCACCCCTATTCTATTAAATAAATAGTAAAATACTATGGATCAGCATAGTAGCTCACGCCTATAATCCTAGCACTTTGGGAGGCCAAGGCGGGTGGATCACCTCAGGTCAGAAATTCGAGACCAGCCTGGCCAAAGTGGTGAAACCCCATCTCTACTAAAAATACAAAAATTAGGCAGGTGCGGTGACATGTGTCTGCAGTCCCAGCTACATGGGAGCCTGAGGTAGGAGAATCACTTGATCCCTGGAGGCAGAGGTTATAGTGAGCCAAAATCGTGGTGCTGCACTCCAGCCTGGGTGACAGAGTGAGACTCCATATAAAAATATATGTATATATACTGTGAATATTAGTGTTCCTTCAGTTGCAAACAATAAAACCGAACTCTGGATAACTTACTTTTTTGTTTGTCTTGCTCTATCACCCAGGCTGGAGTGCAGTAGCAAGATCTTGGCTCACTGCAACCTCCACCTCCTAGGTTCAAGTGATTCTCCTGTCTCAGCCTCCTGAGTAGCTGGGATTACAGGCATGTATCACTATGTCCAGCTGAACAGCTATGGTTGATTTTTGTATTTTTGGTAGAGACATGGTTTTACCATGTTGACTAGGCTGGTCTCGAACTCCTGACCTCAAGTGATCTGCCCACCTCAGCCTCCCAAAGTGCTGGGATTACAGGCGTGAGCCACTGCACCTGGCCTGGATAATAACTTACTTTTTGAAAGCTTTCTCTTCTGTAGAGGAAGCCTCTCACTTAGAAGCCTCAGTGCTTTGCTCCAGTAGGTTATGGAACATTTCCCTCTTATTGTCTCCTCTTTAGATCTGTGAAGTCCTGGAACACTCCCAGTCTCCGCCCCTGAAGCTGACCCCTACCTCAAGCATCCACCCTAACCTCCATGCCTATCTTCAAGGCAACACCCAGGTCTCTCGAAAGAAACTTCTGCCCCTGCTCCAGGAAGCCCTGTCAGCATATTTTGACTCCACGAAGATCCCTTCAGGACAGCCTGAGACAGTGGATGTGTCCAGGGAGCAGGTGGACAAGGAATTGGACAGAGCAAGTAACTCCCTGATTTCTGGACTGAGTCAAGATGAGGAGGACCCTCCGCTGCCCCCCACACCCATGAACAGCTTGGTGGATGAGTGCCCTCTGGATCAGGGGCTGCCTAAACTGTCCGCTGAGGCGGTCTTCGAGAAGTGCAGTCAGATCTCACTGTCACAATCAACCACTGCCTCCCTGTCCAAGAAGTGACAGTTGGGAGGGGAGGAGGTAGTGGGTGAGGCGCCTGACTCACTCCACGTGCATGTTTTGAGATGTCTGGAGATTCAGCAATTCGGTCTTCATTACTCCAGGATCTGGGGTACTGTTCTCAAAAAACTGAGAGGAGAAAACAGTGAAAGAAAGCAGCTGCTTTAAGAATGGCTTTCCACCTTTTCCCCTAATCTCTACCAATCAGACACATTTTATTATTTAAGTCTGCACCTCTCTCTATTTCATTTGCCAGGGGCACAATGTGACACATCTACAGTCCCAGCACAGTGGGACAAAAAGAATGTAGACCCCCCAAAGTGCCCTCAGCATGGATCTTGAACAGAACCAATATCTGTCATGGAACTAAACAGTCATTGATGGTCTCCATGTTTTCATTTATTCTCATTCATTCAAGTATTTATTGAACACCTGCCTCAAGCTAGAGAGAAAACAGAGTGCGCTGTGGAAACTTATTCCAGTTTTCATTCCCCAGCAGATTTCCAGCTCTGTGACTCTCCATTCTGCCACCATTTAAGTGATGGTGTTTGATTCAGAGATGGCTGAATTTCTATTCTGAGCTTACTGTGACTGTTTCAGATCTAGTTTGGGAGCGGATTAGAGGCCACTGTCTTCTGTCCTGATCAGGTGGCCTGGCTGTTTCTTGGATCCCTCTGTCCCAGAGCCACCTAGAACCCTGATGGCTCCTGATTCTCGAGAATTAAGAAAGCACCCAGAAAGGCCTTAATGACCTCATAGGCACTCTTCCAAAATGACCACAGAACTGGAATGAGAGGCCTGGGTCTGTCCCTGGCTTAGCAGGCCTATCAATTTGTTGTCCATCTCTTTTTCTCCTTGCTCATTTCAAAAGGAAGCATGGAGTTCTAATGCTGCCATAAACTCTGTGTGTTGGCAAGAACTTCACCACGCTAGGTCTCACTTTCCCCATGTGTCAAACAGGGTTTGGACAAGGTGTTCCCCGGTACTCTGTGATCTGCCTCTTGCTGCCATTTCTCTCCTCTGCTTTTCTGTATTTTTCTTCTGTTATCCCTGGGGGTGCTCAGGTTCATGTGATTGTCTGTATTTCTGTGTGATTGTAGCAAGGACTCAGCCTCATGTAGCATGAATAGGGGTGTGGTTTATGATATGGTGACCCAGCAGAGAGCTCCCTCCCACTGATTTGTTCTGCATGTGTAGAGTCTCCCTCCATTTTTTTTTCAGACCAACCCTTTCCCCCTTTTCCTACCCCACAGCTCTATTCTGTGTAAGTTGCCAACGGTTTTACTGAACAGTGGGGTATGTGATGGTTTTGGCATGACATCTTCAGTACGAGGGGGACAGTCTGTGACTTCACTTGGAGGGTGTGATGTCTGTAGCTATGAGGAAGGTAAAAATAGTGGTGTGATCACGAACCAAAGGAATTTATGTTTTGTAACTTGGGTACTTTATTTTGCATTTTGTTAAAGTATTAAATACTTTTTTCCTGTTTGGGATCTTACTGGTTTTTTTTTACAGGTGAAATTGGGCCTTTCTCTGCGATAATTGTTTCAGTCTCCTCAAAAGTCATCTCCCTTCTTCCTATTACACTTAATGGCTTCTTTCTTTGTGTGTGTGTGTGTGTGTGTGTGTGTGTGTGTGTGTGTGTGTGTGTGACGGAGTTTCGCTCTTGTTACCCAGGCTGGAGTGCAATGGCGCGATCTCGGCTCACCGCAACCTCCGCTCCTGGGTTCAGGCAATTCTCCTGCCTCAGCCTCCTGAGTAGCTGGGATTACAGGCACGCGCCACCATGCCCAGCTAATTTTTTGTATTTTTAGTAGAGACGGGGTTTCACCATGTTGACCAGGACGGTCTCGATCTCTTGACCTCGTGATCCACCCGCCTCGGCCTCCCAAAGAGCTGGGATTACAGGGGTGAGCCACCGCGCCCCACTTTATGGCTTCTTTCTATTGACGCCTTTTGGGAATGAGGAGCAACAGGCTTCCGTCTCCTCATCCTCAGCCCCCTCAACTCGTCTGTTCTCCCAGAAACCCTATAACATATTCCATCTCCCCAGTTTTGCTTGTGCTTGAAAAGTAGGCCCGAGATAACAGTCTTAGGAACACAGTGATTTCTCCTGGCTTTTTGCTTGTTTGTTTGTGTAAAGAGCAACTTCGAGAAGGGTATAAGGAGTCTGAAAAAGAGAACAAATTGCTTTCCTAGACTCACCAAGACTGCTCCCCCTAGAAAATGCACTCTCAGGCCGGGCGCGGTGGCTCACGCCTGTAATCCCAGCACTTTTGGAGGCTGAGGCAGGTGGATCACGAGGTCAAGAGATCGAGACCATCCTGGTCAACATGGTGAAACCCCGTCTCTACTAAAAATACAAAAAATTAGCTGGGCATGGTGGTGCGTGCCTGTAATCCCAGCTACTCGGGAGGCTGAGGCAGGAGAATTGCCCGAACCTAGGAGGCGGAGGTTGCAGTGAGCCGAGATCGCGCCATTGCACTCCAGCCTGGGTAACAAGAGCGAAACTCTGTCTCAAAAAAAAAAAAAAAAAGAAAAAGAAAATGCACTCTCCTCCCCAAAGCCCGCCCCCTCACAGGAGGGAGCGTTTTTCTTTTGGGCAAACCTGCTCCTTGGGAGAGGAGGTGGCAAAACCTGTTTGAAGATGAGGTTACCTCCCTTCCACACCTCCCTCCTTGGAGGCCGGAACTACCTCAGCTGACACAAAAAAGGTAAAGAAGTCTTGGGGGCTGGGATACCCAGCTCCCCAACAACTTTCAGGTGTTTAAAGAAGAAGACAGGAAGACCTGTGAAGATGGGAACCATACAAGAGGCAGGAAAAAAGACCTTAGATGTTGGGTAAGTAAGATCTTGGCTCACTTGATTAGAAACAGAATAAACAGTCCTCAGAGACTCTCACCACCCAGCTCTTACTGGGTCAAATCTCAGGTTCCTCAAGGAGACAAGACTCTTAGAGAATTTGCAGAGAAGGGATGAGGGTGGTTTTAGGTAGGAAATGTCAGGATGGTGTGGAAATAGGGAACAGGGGAATCCAGGATAAATCCCTGGTTTAAAAATAAAGGAAGTGGCCGGGAGTGGTGGCTCAAGCCTGTAATCCCAGCACTTTGGGAGGCCGAGGCGGGTGGATCACGAGGTCAACAGATCGAGACCATCCTGGTCAACATGGTGAAACCCCATCTCTACTAAAAATAAAAAAATTAGCTGGGCATGGTGGCGCACGCCTGTAGTCCCAGCTGCTCAGGAGGCTGAGGCAAGAGAATTGCCTGAACCCAGAAGGCAGAGGTTGCAGTGAGCGGAGATCGCGCCATTGCGCTCCAGCCTGCGTAACAACAGCGAAACTCCGTCTCAAAAAAAATAAAAAACAAAAATAAAATAAAGGAAGTTTCTGTAACATGTTGTATCTGATAAATCTGCCTGTGTTCTTTATTCTCTAACCCTCACCCTCCAGAATGACCATCAGGAAAGCTGAACCAGAACTGACTTTAGGTCCAGGGTCTCGTTCCCGGCACATCTTTCTTCTTACCTTTTTTCCCCACACCTCCACCTAGGCTGTGTTTTCCCTTAGCCACACCCCAGCACGGTGGAGGAAAGGCAGGCCTGACTAGCTGCCGTCTTGCCCAACTTTGCTCAGTGATAGTTGGGTGGGTCTAGCTGGGTTCCAGCCAATTGTAATGTGGGACATCTCTCACCCCCACTTCATAGGTGGAGCAAGTTCTGTAGAGGTAAATATGACTAACTTTATATTCCATCCGTCCTCTGCTCCCAAACCCATCAGTAGGCAATCTAGTAAGTGGTGACGGTGAAAGAAATACCTTTGTAGGAGGCAAGAGATCTGAGTGCCTTTGAAGGCCTACTCTCTGCTCTCTGTCTCAATTACTGTTCTTCATCATTCCAATTCTTCTTACCTACTTTCAGTTCCCTTACTCTTTTCTTCTTGGGGGTCTGTCTTAGGGTCAGGGAGAGTGGAGAAGCAGCAGAACTAGGAGCAGCCCTGAGACGTGGGGAATTGGAGCTGAAGGAGGAATGGCAGGATGAAGAATTCCCTAGGTGAGATCGTGTGAGGGCGGCTGGGAGAAGGAAGGGATGGGCAGCTCACGCCTGTAATCCCAGCAGTTTGGGAGGCCGAGGCGGGTGGATCACCTGAGGTCAGGAGTTTGAGACAAGGCTGACCAACATGATGAAATCCCATCTCTACTAAAAATACAAAATTAGCCAGGCGTGGTGGCGCATGCCTGTTGTCCCAGCTTCTTTGGAGGCTGAGGCAGGAGGATTGCTTGAACTCGGGAGGCAGAGGTTGCAGTGAGCTGAGATTGCACCATTGTACTCCAACCTGTGCAACAAGAGTGAAACTCTGTCTCAAAAACAACAAAACCAGCCCAGGCGTGGTGGCTCACGCCTGTAATCCCAGCACTTTGGGAGGCTGAGGCAGGTGGATCACGAAGTCAAGAGATCGAGACCATCCTGGTCAACATGGTGAAACCCCGCCTCTACTAAAAATACAAAAAATTAGCTGGGCATGGTGGCGCATGCCTGTAATCCCAGCTACTCAGGAGGCCGAGGCAGGAGAATTGCCTGAACCCAGGAGGCGGAGGTTGCAGTGAGCCGAGATTGCGCCATTGCACTCCAGCCTGGGTAACTAGAGCGAAACTCCGTCTCAAAAAAAAAAAAACAACAACAAAACCAAACGCACAAAAAAACAAACAAATGGATGCAAGGATGGTGAATTAGGACTTGAAGTAAAAAAATTCTAAAAAGGAAAACAGGCCAGGCATAGTGGCTCATGCCTATAATCCCAGCATTTTGGGAGGCCAAGGCAGGTGGATCACTTGAGCTCAGAAGTTCAAGACTACTCTGGGCAACATGGCAAAAACCCATCTCTACCAAAATACAAAATTTAGCCAGGCATGGTAGTGCACGCCTGTAGTCCCAGCTACTTGGGAGGCTGAGGTGGGAGGATCACTAGAGCCCTGGAGGTAGAGGCTGCAGTGAGCCATGATTGTGCCACTGCATTCTAGCCTGGGCAAAGAGTGAGACCCTATCTCAAAAACAATAAAAAAAGAAAGCAGATGTGGTAAAATCATGGCCAGGAGAGAGAAACTATATACTGAGTCCCAGCTTGATGCCTTTGGTGTATATCTCTGCCCCCTTTTAATCTCTTTCCCTCTAGATTGCTTCCTGAGGAGGTTGGACCTTCTGAAGATCCTGAAGAGCCTAAAGGAGACTCACAGGCAGGTAGGTCAAATAGAAACCAGGCCTCAAGTTCTTTTTTCTTTTTTCTTTCTTTTTTTATTTTTGAGACAGTCTCGCTCTATCGCCAGGCTGGAGTGCAATGGCACAATCCCAGCTCACTGCAACTTCCGTTTTCCGGTTTCAAGTAATTCTCCTGCCTCAGCCTCCGGAGTAGCTGGGACTACAGGCACGGACCACCATGCCTGGCTAATTTTTTTTGTATTTTTTTAGTAGAGACGGGGTTTCATCATGTTGGTCAGAGTGGTCTCAATCTCTTGACCTCATGATCCACCCGCCTCGGACTCCTAAAGTGCTGGGATTACAGGCATGAGCCACCGCACCCGGCCTCAAGTACTTGATTCTAGTCCAGTGAAGGCCTGTGCCACCTCTGTCCCCTTACAGTTCCGTTTCTCCCTTTCCCAAATGTCCCCTGTGTCCATCTTCAGAGTTCACCCCCTATTATCACTGTCACATACAAAGAATTCTAGCCCTCTTGGCCCCCAACACACACGTCCATCTGGGTCCTCTTTTTCCTCCTTTCTCCAACCGCAGGTACCCCCCTCACTTTAGCCCTGTGTGGCCAGCGCCCCATGCGGAAGCGTCTTTCTGCCCCAGAGTTGCGACTGAGTCTGACTAAGGGGCCTGGAAATGATGGAGTTTCGCCCACCCAATCTGCACCTTCCTCTCCTGATGGGAGTTCTGACCTGGAAGTAGACGAATTAGAGACACCTTCAGACTCGGAGCAGCTGGACAGTGGACATGAATTTGAATGGGAAGGTGGGAAGCAAACCAGAGGACCCAGAGCTGGTAGAAGTAGAGGCTAGCACTAAAGGATCAGGATGGACTTAATGGGACTGCAGTTAGAACTAATCAAGTGGGGAGAGCACCGGGCGCGGTGGCTCACGCCTGTAATCCCAGCACTTTGGGAGGCAGAGGCAGGCGGATCAGGAGGTCAACAGATCAAGACCATCCTGGCCAACATGGTGAAACCCCGTCTCTACTAAAAATACAAAAATTAGCTGGGCATGGTGGCACGTGCCTGTAATCCCAGCTACTTGGGAGGCTGAGGCAGGAGAATTGCTTGAACCCAGGAAGCGGAGGTTGCAGTGAGCTGAGATCGTGCCACTACACTCCAGCCTGGCACCTGGTGACGGAGTGAAACTCTGTCTCAAAAAAAAAAAAAAAGGTGGGGACCAAGAGCTACCGTCAGCAAAATTAGTTTCCTCAAATGAAAGAGTAGGGCTTATAGGTCCAAAGTGAGAGTAGTCATAGAAGGAGAGGGGAGCCCTTGGTTTATTAAGGAAAATTTAATTGAATGCCTGCTATATACTATCATGTATAGGACTGGGGTTATAAAGATGAATAAGAGAGGCCCTACAGGGAATTATCTGCTTAGTAGGAAATAAACATATATACAAATAATTGCAGTTAAAGGTTATGATCTATATATGTATAGGGTACAGTGTAGGCAGGGAGAAGGAAAAGGTCACTTCTGCCTGAGAGATGTTAGGAAAGGCTTTGTGAAGGAGGTGATTCTGAGCTGAGTGTTGAAAGCTGAAGCTGGCCAGGCATGGTGGCTCACTCCTGTAACCCCAGCACTTTGGGAGGCCAAGGCGGGTGGATCACTAGGTCAGGAGTTTGAGACCAGCCTGACCAACATGGTGAAACCCCATCTCTACTGAAAATACAAAAATTAGCCAGGCATTGTGGCACACGCCTATAATCCCAGCTACTCAGGAGGCTGTGACAGGAGAATTGCTTGAACCCAGGAGGCGGAGGTTGCAGTGAGCCGAGATCACATCACTGCACTCCAACCTGGGTGATAGAGCGAGACTCCATCTCCAAAAAAAAAAAAAAAAAGAAAGCTGAGGCTGGTGGTTATCAGGTAGTTGAAGACAGGGCATTCTAAGTAGAAGAAGCAGAAGAAACAAAGCAATACTATGGCATGTTGGGGAATTCAAAGTATGAAGCATGACGATTTTAATATGAAGGGCTGGGAGGTGAAGAGAGAATGACAAAAGATAGTGCTGCTATCTTTTGCTAGGGTTAAGTAGGCGAAGGTCAAACCATGGAAGCCCTTGCTGCCATGCTGAGGAGTTTAGGTTTTATCTTTTTTTTTTTGAGATGGAGTTTCGCTCTTGTTACCCAGGCTGGAGTGCAATGGCGCGATCTCGGCTCACCACAACCTCCGCCTCCTGGGTTCAGGCAATTCTCCTGCCTCAGCCTCCTGAGTAGCTGGGATTACAGGCACTCACCACCATGCCCAGCTAATTTTTTATAGTTTTAGTAGAGATGGGGTTTCACCATGTTGACCATGATGGTCTCGATCTCTTGACCTTATGATCCACCCGCCTCAGCCTCCCAAAGTGCTGGGATTACAGGCTTGAGCCACCGCGCCCGGCCAATTTTATTATTTTTGTCGCCCAGGCTGTTCTCAAACTCCTGGCTTCAAGCAATCCTTCTGTCTTGGCTTCCCAAAGTGCTGGGATTACAGGCATGAGCCACTGAGCACAGCCTTGAGTTCCCTTTTAGATCTGGTGACTTGTTAATGACAAGGAGACACACAGTGAAGACATACACTCTGGGCATTTAGGGATGCTCGAGTTAGGGCAGCAGCTGGGGTTAGAGGCTGGGCACAGTGGCTCCTGCCTGTAATCCCAGCACTTTGGGAAGCCAAGGCAGGTGGATTGCTTTGAGCTTAGGAATTCAAGAACAGAGTGGCATGGCGAAACCCTGTTTAAAAAAAAAAAAAAAAAATTAGCTGGGCATGGTGGTGTGTGCCTGTGTCCCAGCTTCACAAAAACCTGAGACTGAAGAATCACTTAAGCCCAGGAAGGGGAGGTTGCAGTGAGCTGAGATTGCACCACTGTATTCCAGCCTGGGCAAAAGAGTGAGACTGCCTCAAAGGAAAAAAAAAAGAAGCCTGGGTTAGAGAGGCAAATTTGGGAGTCATTTCCTTACTGGTGGAATTAAAGACATGGGACTAGATGAACTGATCTAGGGAAAATCATTTAAAGAAAGAATCTCAAAAGGCCAGGTGCAGCGGCTCATGCCTGTAATCCCAGCACTTTGGAAGGCCAAGGCGGGTAGATCACCTGAGGCCAGGAGTTTGAGACCAGCCTGGCCAACATGGTGAACCTCCATTTCTACTAAAAATGCACAAATTAGCTGGACGTGGTGGCAGCTGCCTGTAATCTCAGCTACTCGGGAGGCTGAGGCAGGAGAAATGCTTGAACCCGGGAGATGGAGGTTGCAGTGAGCCAAGATCTCACCATTGCACTCCAGCCTGGGCAACAAAGGGAGACTGTCTACATACATACATACATACATACATACATACATACATACAATAACCAGACTATTAGAAATAAAAGGCATAACTTTAAAAAAATAAAAAAAGACTCAAAAAATACCTGATACTGCTAAGGGTCATAGTGCAGGGTCATCCAAAGTCCATCATCGGCCGGGCGCAGTGGCTCACGCCTGTAATCCCAGAACTTTGGGAGGCCAAGGCAGGTAGATCACGAGGTCAAGAGATCGAAACCATCCTGGTCAACAAACTCCGTCTCTACTAAAAATACAAAAATTAGCTGGGCGTGGTGGCACGCGCCTGTAGTCCCAGCTACTCGGGAGGCTGAGGCAGGAGAATTGCCTGAACCCAGGAGGCGGAGGTTGCAGTGAGCCGAGATCGCACCATTGCACACCAGCCTGGGTAACAACAGTGAAACTCTGTCTCAGAAAAAAACAACAACAAAAAGAAACAAAGTCCATCATCTAGTGAAAAGGTGAGGATAGTGAGTCACAGGAGAAAGAAACCAGCAAGATATTGGGCTGATTGGGCAAAACAGGGCTAAAGAGTCAAGGAAAAGGCCGAGTATGGTGGCTCACGCCTGTAATCCCAGCACTTTGGGAGGCTGAGGTGGACAGATGGCTTGAGCTCAGGAATTTGACACCAGCCTGGGCAACATGGTACAACTCTGTCTCTACCAAAACATTAGCGGAGCGTGGTAGCGTGTGCCTATGGTTCCAGCTACTCAGGAGGCTGAGGTGGGAGGATCACTTGAGCCTGGGAGGCAGAAGTTGCAGTGAGCCATGATCGTGCCACTGCACTCCAACCTGGGTGACAGAGTGAGACTCCATCTCAAAAACAAAAAAAAATGAATCAAGGAAATAATCAAGGAGTGACAGATTAGAGTAACAAACTAGGAATCTGAGGAAGTTACAAGAAACTGAAGGCAGGAAATCTACCTTGCTGATCCTTCCCCAACCCTCTCTTTTAGATGAGTTACCCCGGGCAGACGGTCTGGGCGCCAGTGAGGCAGCTGAAAGGCTGGGCCAAGGCTGTATGTGGGATGTGGCTGGAGAAGATGGACATCACTGGAGGGTTTTCCGAATGGGACCACGGGAGCAGCGTGTGGACATGACTGTCATTGAACCCTATAAGAAAGTCCTGTCTCATGGAGGTAATGGCTAGCATAAACAGAGGGGTAAGAGCTATGGCTTTTTTTTTGAGACAGAGTTTCACTCTTGTTTCTCAGGCTGGAGTGCAATAGCGGGATCTCGGCTCACCGCAACCTCCATCTCCTGGGTTCAAGCAATTCTCCTGCCTCAGCCTCCTGAGTAGCTGGGACTACAGGCATGCGCCACCATGCCCAGCTAATTTTTTGTATTTTTAGTAGAGACGGGGTTTCACCATATTGAGCAGGATGGTCTTGATGTCTTGACCTCATGATCCACCCGTCTTGGCCTCCCAAAGTGCTGGGATTATAGGCGTGAGCCACCGGGCCCGGCCGAGCTATGGCTTCTTAAATAAAATGCCTAAGCTGGAGACTCAGTCATTGATCCAAAATCTATCCTGTAGCTTCCAGAGACCCTCAGAGTCCCTCAACTTAAACAGATGTACTATCTGTCAATACATATTTGTTGACTAAATGAATTTTCGCCTTACACTCTCCAGGTTACCACGGTGATGGCCTCAATGCTGTCATCCTTTTTGCTTCCTGTTATCTACCCAGAAGCAGTGTCCCCAACTACACCTACATCATGGAACACCTGTTTAGGTGAGGAGGGAGGCCTGAAGAGCTACAGGGCCGTGTTAGCGGGGGGGGGGGGGATGGGGACACCGAAGTGAAAAAGAACTCCTTCAAAGATCAGTAGCTAATTGGAGAGTCTATAGTAACGTTCCCTGTCGCTCCTGCAACTCTCAGCACATACTTTCCCTGCAATTTCATCCGCCCAGGTATATGGTGGGAACGCTGGAGCTGCTAGTAGCTGAAAATTACCTGCTTGTTCATTTGAGTGGAGGCACAAGCAGGGCCCAAGTTCCACCTCTGAGCTGGATACGCCAGTGTTACCGCACCCTGGATCGGCGGTGAGACCTGGGACGAGAAGGCTACAACTCTCGCTCTCTCATTGTTTTTCCCACCTTTCCATTCTTTCTTCTTCCATTTAGTCCCTTCCTGTTTTCTTTATCCTACGTTCCTTTCCCAGCTCTTTTGTTTTCTGTCCTCTCTTGGAGTCAGAGATTTAGTTTCAAATCCTGCCATTATCCACATTACCATTTACTAGCTGTCTGGCTTTGGACAAGTCACTTAACCTCTCTGGACTTCAGCTTCCTTTTTGTTTTGTGTGTGTGTGCATGCGTGTGTGTGTGTATGTGTGTGTGTGTGTGTGCGCGCGTGCATGTGTGTGTGTGTGTGTTTTGAGACAGGGTCTGGCTCTGTCATCCAGACTGGAGTACAGCAGTACAATCTCGGCTCATTGCCACCTCTGCCTCCCAGGCTCAAGTGATCCTCCCACCTCAAGCCTCCCAAGTAGCTGGGACTACAGGCATCGGCCACCATGCCCGGCTAACTTTTGTATTTTTTGTAGAGATGGAGTTTTGCCACTTTTCCCAGGCTTGTCTCAAACTCCTGATCTCAAGCAATCTGCCCACCTCCCGAAGTGCTGGGATTACAGGCATGAGCCACTGCCCCTGGCCGCTTCAGCTTCTTCATCTGTAAAATGGCAATGATTATACAAAAACACTGGGTATTTGTGAAAATCGAGTAAATTAGTGTGGCATATTGCCTGGCACACAGAAAGCACTCTTCCTCTTCTCTCTCAGTCTTGCCATTTATTTCCTGTTCCACACCTCCATTGTCTTCTTCTCGGACTTCGTCACTGACCTACGTGTCTCCTCTGTTGCCCAGGCTGCAGTGCAGTGGCGTGATCTTGGCTCACTGCAACCTCTGCCTCCCTGGCTCAAGTCATCCTCCCACCTTGGCCTCCCAAGTAGCTTGGACCACAGGTGTGCACCACCACCACGCCTAGCTAATTTTTCTATCCTTTTCTGTTAGAGACAGGGTTTTGCCATGTTTCTCAGGCCAGTCTTAAACTCCTGAGCTCAGGCGATTGCCTGCCTTGGCCTCCCAAAGTGCTGGGATTATAAGCCTGAGCCACTGCGCCTGGCCCTATGTCTTCTTTTTCTTTTCAGGTTTTTTTTTTTCCACCCCCCTTTGGTTTTCCCCATCTCCCTTTGCTCACTTTTCTCTTCTTGTCTCCCTTCTTCTTTTCCTCCTTGATGGTCTTCTTCCACCTAGCATTTTATAAGTAGTCTTGGTCATAGAGCGATGGAGAAGCAACATGAACTTATGTGAGGGTCGGGCACAAGAGGGAAATGGAGCAGAAAAAGACCAGGCTGAGGGATTCTGAAAGGAGAGTTTTTTTAAAATGAGGATCATGGAGGGCTAACTAAGATGGGTGGAGCTGAGATTACAGCTAATGGAATGGGGATTAGACCCAAGTGCCAGATAAATCTAGAAAATGGAGAAGTGAAGGAAATTACAGTACAGAAAACAGTTCCACGTGATCTTCACACATAAAAGCGGAAGAAGAAATAGGATGATCTCATGTTCTTTCTTAGGCTGCGAAAAAACCTGCGAGCCCTGGTGGTTGTGCACGCTACGTGGTATGTGAAGGCATTTCTGGCCCTGCTTCGGCCCTTCATCAGGTACTAGCCCTAGGAACAAGGACTCCCTTCTCCTTCTCCACATTTTCAAAATCAAGATTAAGAAGATCTTTCTCCACCTTGATTCTCTCTAGCACTCTACTTCTACATTTTTCTTTGCAAGGATTTTTGGGAACCCTCTCCCAATATGAAACAGTTGCTTTATTCTCTCTTTTCAGTTCCAAATTCACACGAAAAATCCGTTTTCTGGACAGCCTGGAGGAGCTGGCCCAACTCATATCCCTGGATCAAGTCCACATCCCTGAAGCTGTCAGACGGTGAGTTTCACACTTAAGGATAAAGCTTTGGGGGTGGGATGTGTAAAGCCAACCTTACTTTTTTAATGCCTTGGGGGACATGCAACAGAACAAAAAGATAGAGGCCCTGCTTTTGGGTGCTTCAGTATATATGGGAAAACTGCAAACACCCAGAGAAGAAATGAAGGACACTACTGCATCGCACAAGAATAAATGAAAAAACACCTATACATCTAAGTGCAGAGGCAACAAGGAATAATCACAGCGCAGAGGAGATTCAGCCTGGCCCTAGGAATTAGGAAGAGATGTGTTGGCAGCGAACAGATGAGATCCCAGGGGAGGAGAGGGTGCTAGGGAGCAAAAGTGCTCAATGATGACTCAACCCAAGCATCTAGCTCTTCCAATTCACCTGGCTTGTCTCCCCAGACGAGAATGTAAAACCCAAGTCCTGCCCCTGAACCACTTCTCTCTCCCTCTCCCTCTCCTAGGCTGGACCGGGATCTCCATGGCTCAGGAGGGACCTAGCACAGGACTGGATAAAGGGCCTTAGAACCAAGTAAAGATGCTGATCTGCCTGCACCCGAATCCCAGAAACATCTGAACTGTTTTGTAAATCATCTTATCCCCAACCTCAGTACCAGCTCAGTACCACCGGTCTTCACTTCTCAGTGGGATTTCGTCCTTTGCATGACCCTGCCTTCAGCTGGGCCTTGAGACTGGGAAGCTGTTCTGCTGGGTGACTTTCATTCCAGCTGTTGGGGTGGAAGGCTGAGTGTAGGGTCATTTCGTATGGGATATACCGAGCTGTGGGTTTTAATCCTGCTTTCGCTGTAGAACCTTGGGCAAATACCTTCATCTTTTTGGGTCCTCATTTTCTTCCTCTCTAACTGGAGGGGCTGTGATCTTCCACCTTGGATGGAAGAGGCTGACTTGACAGTCAGCCTGCCTGCTGGGAGCCAGGAGAGTCAGCTCATTAAATCTTGAAGAACCGCGGTATGCCCTTTTTCCTTCTAAGTCCTGTCTGCTGCCTGTGAGCCTGGGAAGGAGTGCTTTCAAAACCTTTATATTTGCCCTCTCGAGTAAACTGAGATCTGTAGAGGCTAATAAACTGCGATGAGACTTTTAAGCTCTGCTCCAAAGATGTGAGCGACTCTTTCACCACCCCTTGCATCAAAATCCTTCTTTCGGTTCTGGCACTGAGTTCTTGCCACAGAGGTTTCTTTCTTTTTTTTTTTTTTTGAGACGGAGTTTCGCCCTTGTTACCCAGACTGGAGTGCAATGGCGCGATCTCGGCTCACCGCAACCTCCGCCTCCTGGGTTCAGGCAATTCTCCTGCCTCAGCCTCCTGAGTAGCTGGGATTACAGGCACGTGCCCCCATGCCCAGCTAATTTTTTGTATTTTTAGTAGAGACGGGGTTTCGCCATGTTGACCAGGATGGTCTTGATCTTTTGACCTCGTGATCCACCCGCCTCGGCCTCCCAAAGTGCTGGGACAGGAGTGAGTCACCACGCCCCGCCACCACAGAGGTTTCTTAGGATTTTTAATTTAGTCACTGCGGCTGCAGGAGCAATCCTGCGTGGCGCGCGCCTCTGCGCGTCGAACCCCACCCGCTTCCCCGCGGGCTTCGGTTCAAACGACCCGGTGGGTCGAGAGCGGAAGGGAGGGAGCTAAGGTAGGAGGCAGGGCTTGCCTCACTGGCCTCCCTCCCAACCCCAAGAGCCCAGCCCATGGTCCCCGCCGCCGGCCCGCTGCTCTGTGCCCTGCTGCTGAGTCTGGGTCCCCGGGCGGCAGGGGCCCAAGGCCTGACCCAGACTCCGACCACAATGCAGCAGGTGAGCGTACGCCTGGGGAGCCCCATGACCCGCCGCTACCGGAGCACCGCCCGGACCGGTCTTCCCCGAAAGACAAGGATAATCCTAGAGGACGAGAACGATGCCATGGCCAACGCCGACCGCCTGGCTGGCCCGGCGGCTGCCGAGCTCTTGGCCGCCACGCTATCCACAGGCTTTAGCCAGTTGTCCTCCAGCAGCGAGGAGGATGGGTCTTTGGAAGAGGGGGTTGTGATTAGTGCCGGAAAGGATTACCCCAGCAGAGCGCTTCCCACTACGACTCCCGGTACAGCGGGGAGTTCCAGCACGACATTCGTAGCCAATAGTCAGGAACCCGAAATCAGGCTGACCACGAGCCTGCCGCGCTCCACCTGGAGGTCTACTGGGGACCTGCCAGGCTCGGAGCCCACCCTGAGCCAGTGGTCCACAGCCGGGTCTACCCCGAGCCGGTGGCCGTCACGCTCGCCCACAGCCACATCCATGCCCCCTCCTGAGGATCTGCAGTTGGTACTCATGCCCTGGGGCCCGTGGCACTGCCACTGCAAGTCGGGCACCATGAGCCGGACCCGGTCTGGGAAGCTGCACGGCCTTTCCGGGCGCCTTCGAGTTGGGGCGCTGAGCGAACTCCGCACGGAGCACAAGCCTTGCACCTACCAGCAATGTCCCTGCAACCGACTTCGGGAAGAGTGCCCCCTGGACACAAGTCTCTGTACTGACACCAACTGTGCCTCTCAGAGCACTACCGGGACCACCGTTACCTCCCCTCCCACCATCCATCTCAGAAGCAGTCCCAGCCTACCACCAACCAGCCCCTGCCCAGCCCTGGCTTTTTGGAAACAGGTCAGGACTGGCCTGGAGGATATTTGGAATAGCCTCTCTTCAGTGTTCACAGAGATGCAACCAGTAAGTGTTTGGTGATGAGCCAGGATCTTGGCTGATGGATCTGAAAAGTCCTGATGTCTAAAACCCGGTTGCTAAGTCAGCTGGTGTTGCTTACATGAACTGTTACTGACTTACCTGGTTATTGATTCATAACTTGCATTGGTTATTCATGTTATTGTTGGCCATTGATTCTACCTATTATTTATTGAGCAACTGCTGATTGGTCATTAGGTAAAATGTCTTACTGCTCATTAGGTGATTATTGACCAAATAGTTGAGTGGAAATACTGGCCAGGCACAGTAGCTCACGCCTGTAATCCCAGCACTTTGGGAGACCGAGGCAGGTGGATCACCTGAGGTCAGGAGTTCAAGACCAGCCTGGTCAACATAGTGAAACCCTGTCTCTACTAAAAATACAAAAAATTAGCCAGGCGTGGTGGAACTACAGGTGTGGTGGCACACACCTGTAGCTGGCACACACCTGTAGTTCCAACTATTTGGGAGGCTGAGGCAGGAGAATTGCTTGAATACAGGAGGCAGAGGTTGCAGTGAGCCGAGATCATACCATTGCTCTCCAGCCTTGGCAACAAGAGTGAAACTCCATCTCAGGGGGAAAAAAAAAGGAAGAAGAAAAGGAATTTATTTTAAGTTAGCCTCCCGAGTAGCTGAACCACAGGCGTGTGCCACCATGCCCAGCTAATTTTGTGTGTGTGTGTGTGTGTGTGTGTGTGTATATATATATATGTATAATTTTTGTCAAACCTGGTTTAAATCTCGTGGCTCTGACACTTACTAGCTTTGTAAACCTGTTTCTTCATCTGAAAAGCAGGGATAATAATACTTCATAGGGTGTGAAGATTGATTGAGGTAAAGTGCACATAGTATAAGACCTCAGATCTTGGCTGTTGTTACTGTTAAGCTGTATTAGTTAACTATTGACCCTCTTCACCACTACCATCCGGGAGAACTGTCCTCTGCTTTACCAAGAATTACCAAAGGTTCTGATTGACTTGATAAGGTAGTCTCAACTGATACGGATGATAGGACTTTGAGGAAGGAAAGGCGATAAAGCATATACTTGGTCATTTTGCTTTTTTCTCCTTGTGTGTCCAGTACCATTACTGATACAAAAATAAGTGGGGGGGGGTGGGCAGTAGGGTTGAGATGGGTTTGTGGGAGGGGGAGATGAAGCAAGGAAAAGAATATAGATGTGGTTGTAATTTCCCTTTTTCTCTATTTTTCCTTACCCAGATAGACAGAAACCAGAGGTAATGGCCACTTCATCCACAGAGGAGGTGTCAGCATCTCAACCTCTCTTGCCCTTTCAATCCTAGCACCCACTAGATATTTTGAGTACAGAAAACAAAATTGGAAAATACATTGTTTGGTCTTGTGGTTTTTTTTTTTTTTTACAGAGGTACCTGAGGGAGGAGAGACATAAATCTCTTCATCCCTAAGACTGAACTGTGTAATTAGCAGCCTCTGGCTTGTTTCTACTCCCTCTCAGGATAAAATGTTGATATTGCTCATTTTCCTCATTTCCAACATTGTTTTAAAACAAGTACTTCTTTTACAGACTTGAAAAATCTCAAATAAACGCTAAGAAAAGGGCGTATGAAGAACAAGGAGCCGAGCCCTTGAAAGATGGCAGTGGTCTTGCTTTCATAACGCTTAGCCCTCTCTCCTCAAAAGGGCAATGTTGGTACAAAATTCCATCTCAGCCACTTTCAAGGAGGTATCTTCGTCAGCCATATCCATCCTTTAATCCAACACACACCTGCAATGATTACTGTGCGAATATTTTGCTTAAATTTTTTATTTGAAAAATGTATTTAAAAGTCCAACAACTTTTTAATATAAATTATGACTCTCAAACCCATTCCCATCACTTTACTAGTGACGGTAGTAGCATCCATATTAGAGAAGGTAGCTAAAGGCAAGAGAGCACCAAAGGAAGAAGACTGTGTCCAAAGAAGAGGTATTAGAATGAGGCTGAAGATCACGGTGACAAGAGATTCCAGGAGTCTCTGGCCTTTCTACCTATCCTGTTAACCCTCTAGATCTCTAGGGTAACACTCGGGCTACTGAGCTATTTTAGGGCAACAAGTGGGGTTACTTTCAGAGCAAGCAGCTTGACTAGAACTGAGAGTGAATTGGGAATGTATGACCAATCTTAGACCCTGAAAAATGGCAGAAAATACATGGAAATTTGAGGGGAAAAAAAAAATAGAACCTCAGTCACTGTTCTGTAGGTAGAAGCACACTGAATGGGGGCTGGAATTGGCAGAATGGATGCCAGTTCCTACATTCCTGAACCCACCACTATAAAACAGGATGTTTCCTGTCGCAAAGCTAACGAGACCCCAGCCTTCTCGTCTCAGAGCAGGAAGGAGCTCATCTGTCTTGTTCTGCCTTCCTAATTACCCTGGAAGGGCCAGAACGAAGAACACCTGAGAATACTGAAAGTGCCTAAAGACCCCTGCTCCTGCATTGTTTTCCCATCTAAAGCCAACTCTTCAGCTGGGGGGCAGTGGGACCTGGTCTTCAGACAAAACTCCCTGAGTCTAATGTGTGTCTGGATCTAGGACTAGGGCACAGAAATAGAGCTTAGAATTTGGGGAGGATAAGGAGTGTATCTACTGTTTCTGTCTCCCCTTTCCCCAGTCCTACCATACCCTGTTCATGTCTCTACACTGCAGGAACCACTTCTCCAGAGTGGGAGAACAGAGGAGCATGGTACCTGTCCATAACGACATGCGAGCACAAGCAAAGCACTGAATAGAGAATTGTTTGGAGATTATGTGCAGCTCTATTGAACCTAATTTATATGGGGTCCTGGTTCATCCATGGCTCTGGCTTAAGATGAGTAACATGAGGGTAGTGTGCCCAGCAGAAATCACTTAAGAGAAAAACATCTTGACTTTAGAGCTGTGCTTCTCAAATGGAGGTGATTTTGCCCCCTAGGAGAAATTTGGCAACGTATAGAGACATTTTTGGTTGTCATAACTAGGGTGGGCCAGGGCCATGTTAAAAGCCCTGTAATACTGTAATGCACAGAACAGGAAGCAGGTCTCCTTACAAAGAACTCTTCAGCCCAAAATGTCAAAGGCATCTCGGTTGTGAAACCTTGTTCTAGAGCCTCTCCCTGCTCCCGTGCTGTGAGATCTTCAGACTCCTAAACCCACAGATGGTTGTTTTCAACCTATTTATCTCACCATCCTCAATGATCAGAAGTTCACCTTGAGATTTAACTCCTAGTTCTGCAGCCTGTGGGTTTCTCTCCAGACCCCTCTTCCTCCTCTCACCCGGGCCAGCAGGGAGGTTGGCAGAGGGTAGGACAGATGCCCCAAGACTTAAATGGAATGTCATCAGGTGAAGAGCTCCCTCTTACCTTAACTCTTACTCTGTGGGAAA